CTCTTACCCCACTACTGCACCTACACCATCCTATTTTCCTCCCACTACCCTAATTGTTTACCCACTATCTACCCACACACACAATCATTACATGTATTAACACAACAATAAACCAAAACTAAAAGAATCAGCAACACGCCTACACTGCTCCAAACCGAGCAAACGACAAAAAAGAACAAAATGAAAAAAAAACTCCTATACTATCATCACACAAAAAAAAGGGACGATCAGCAAAAACCAAAAAAAAAAAAACAATATACACGCAAAGCAACAACCACACACAGAAACAAAAATACAATACGCACTAACACCAAAAAGAGTAGTTATGAGCGTTTTAATCGAGTTTCGATCAAAATTTTGTGGTTCTTATTTCTTCATTTGTGGTACTCAACTTGACCTTATCTTTTAATTTATTTATGGAAATTTATGTAATTATGTGATAAGTTGTTCTATAGTTTTATTTTATTTATAATTTGATTGAAATGAAGATTGGGTTAAAGTGTTATATCTCTATTTAATGAATGAAGTCCTATATAATGTAAGAATTTTTTTATTTTTTGTTGTTGTTGTTGTTGTTATTGTTGTTTAATTTTGTCATGCCCAAGCCACTATTTTTATGACATTGTTGTAGCTTAATGTTCATGTCAATTGTCTATTTTAATTTACATATTTTAAAATAAATGTGATTACCTAATAAACAAACAAATGGGTTATGTTGTTAAACTTGAATTTACTTCATTTTGGATTAGTTGAATCCTTTGATATGAGGATTAATTTATTTAAAAATAGTATCAATTAATATAATAATGGAATGAAAGATTAGTTCTCTAAAATTCACCAAAATAAGAGTAAGTACTTTTAATACTAGGTGAGTTTTAGGCACGTTAGAAATATTTGTTTCAATTAAGAGACTTACAATATCAATTCATGGCTTTTGTATTCACCTGCCACATTCATGAGTAATTTTAGGGCTCTTGTATTTAGCAAATGCGAATTACATTGTTGATAACATGCACCTAATTAACTGACATAATATTTCAATTTTTAGTTAAATGAGCTAGATAAAAAAGATTTGGACTTACAAGTATTTATCTATCAACTTTATGAAAAAAGAGCCTTTTGATTGCTTCATTTGTGTCATTTCTTAATCACATTAATTTGTTTTATAATTGATGGCCTTTTTCTATTTTGTTCTAAGAAATTGCTTAAGTTTTGTTTTTTAGAACTCTCGTCTTTTTTTTGCAACAAAATGGATGAGGCTATAAATTCTAGTTATATGTAGTTTCTCCTTTAATTCACGCATGTTTGATTCGAATGTGAGAATTCCTACATAGATTACATTATATTTTAATAGTTAATAGTTTTCATGAATGATAGAGTTTATGTTGCCATGTAGAGTAGTTTGTGATGATATATACCCCATAAACTTTCACTTGTGTTAAACTTGTAATGATAAAATTTATATTGTAAATTAGAAAGTATATATATATATATATATATATATATATATAATTGTAATACAAGGGACAATCCATCCAATAAGCCTTATAAAAGTGGGCAATAGAACATATGAAAGACAAATTGTGTTACATATTTTACTTTTGACTCTAGTATAAACATCTCAATCTAAATTTTTGTTTTATTTTCCCTCTCTTTGTACATGTATAAAGAGTGAGAAATTAATCAAGATTGATTACAAGCTATGTGTTACCACATAATTGATATTTTGGAAAGAATTTTTACTTATATGTCTTTGTATAGGAGTAATATTTAGTATATTTTTGGTTTGATTTTCTTGTCATTGGACATATTTTACTTTTATTTTAGGAATTTGTAATGAGATATTATTAATTTAGTATAATTTTAGTTGTTTTTATTGTATGATCATGGGTGAATTTTATGACAAATATTTGTGTCATGAATTAAATTAATTTATCACAAGTTAATTACATTCAGTGACACAAAATGTATTGTCCTAGTACCCCTTTTATTGAATATGAATTATTTTTTTATTTTGTCACAATTGTAATTGTCACTACTTATGATAATATTTAGGGACAATATATGTCGTCGATAAAAGCAACACTTTTAGTGACAAAATGATATATTTAATCACAAAATTATTAACCTTTTTTATAATAATAAATTTGTCCCTAATTTTTACATTTAAGGACAAAAAGAAATTGTATATAAAAAAATAGTCATTAGTGACGATATTGTATTTTTTCAACTACGAAATACATATAGCTTTAGAGACATTTGATGTCGTCACTGATTGAACAAAATAATTAGTGATGATTTAATTTTGTCACTAATAATAATATTTTTAGTGACAAAACATACTATTAACTACAAAAAAGTTACACTTTTTATGACAAATAAATTCATCACAGATGTTTATGCATTTGGGGACAATTTTTATTTTTGTAGTTAATATAATATTTTAGTGACGAAGCACTAAATCATCTTTGTATACTTTTAGTGACGCACGTTTAGTGACGACTGATTGACGAAAATTTTTTCGTCACACAAGAGTTTTAGTGACGAAATATGATTTATAGATGACGAAATTATTTGTCCCTGATAATCAAATTTGTTGTAGTCTTATATAACTCGACTTTGCAGTTTGTGATTCATAGAAATAAAGTTTATTAATTGATCAAATTAGTTTATAAATATCGACGTATTAATTGGTTGATAAGTATTTGAAATATAAATCTAAATTAGTCATAAGTTGGTCATTCCGTTTATGTTATCTATTCATCACAAGAAATATACAATTATAGTGATATCAAAGTAGACCTCATCGAATTATAAATGGTTGGCTTTGACGTTATCATGATATGAATTGTTAGAAAAATAATAGGAAATATAAATTGAAGAAGAAGATGGCTTTGAGACGTGAAGGATCACTTATCTTAAGGAGATATTGTCCATATACATATTGAGGAAAATACGAGCAATTCCCTTCAGGATACAACAAAGCCTTTGTATATACTTGCATATTTTTTTTAGATTACATCTAGTCAATTGAATGATCATGGTATCGGTTGCTTCCACATGTGGCATTCTTCGACCGCCTTGACACCTTAATGTCAAGGAACTCCCCCCCTTCCCCCCTATTCCACAAGTAGGTGGAGACATGGAGGGTCGGAAACCTCAACGGGAAAAGAGAGTTCTTATATTTATATAACTTTAGAGATGACTTTTCATATCATATTCTTTCATGAACAAATGTGTGTTCAATTTAAGACCTCTATAAATTAGAAAATATCCCACATTAATTACCTTTGTTTTATGTAACACATGATCATCATACTAGGTATCAACATGTATTGTGGTGCAGTGGTGTAACTACTCCATCCTTAACTAGATGTCTTGAGTTCTGCTCTGAGTGTGGAGGAAATTATGTTGGGAGTGTCACCTCCGAATGGATCCTGCAGCGCTTGATCCGAATTTAGTCGAAACTCTAGTGTGATTGTGTGATCTCCAAACACAAAAGCAGACCTACATTTCTATGTGAGTGTGCACGTGCATTCGTTAACTTCGAATCCCATTGGCAACAACACTAACAACTCTGTTTGGATCATTGTTACGCATTCTATTGTATTGTATCGTTACTATACCTACAATGTCTGTTTTGATTGTTTCTTAAAATGTATTGTATTGTATTGTTAAATTCTGTTGTTACGTAACAATGAAAACCCCCATTTTATGGAACAACCAATTTGGTATGTTTCCATTGTTACTTAATTTTTTTTTCCAATTATATCTTTACATAATATTTCATAATACTATTTTACCCTTTACCCTTATAAGTATTATTTAATTCTAATCAAACCTCTTACCCTAGAATAATTAAGGATATATTAGTAAATTTATATATTACAATACAATACGATACAGTCAAAACAACAACAAACAATACAGTCTAACCAAACATTGTATCTACCATACAATACAGTATAGTAGAGTACAATACAATACAATACATTATGAAACAATGGAAAACAATGATCCAAACAGAGTGTAAAACTAATTAGGTGGGTTGGATTAAGTGATGTTTAAGGCTGGGGCACTGGTTCGAATCCCGTTGGCAACTTTCTAAAAGATACAACATTTTGGTTGAGATGTTTGTTAATGAAATATAGGAAAGTCATCACCTATACATTAAGGAGTTCGGTTTGAATTTGAGTTATGATGGAATAAGTTATGATAAGATTATTTTTTATTGAGTGTTTGATTTGTTGTATTTAAAATAATAAATTTTAAGAATAATTTATTTGTTTACAAAAATACCCTTCATGAATGTAAAAAGTGATGTATAAAAAAGGTTTAAGAAGACATTTTTGTCATTTACTTATTTTATTCCGAGATTACTATACCACCCAAATCCCAATACTATTATTAATCTCGGGATAAGTTATCCCGGGATTGCCAACCAAACAACAAATTAAGTGGCACTATAATTTAATCCCAAGACTATTTGGTATTATCCTTCACACCAAACGACTTCTAAGGTAATTGAAAAATCATAAAAAGTCCGAACAACACAAAAATCTCCAATATATTCTCAAGCAGAGAAAATTATATACTTTTTTTGAATTCCTTATAGCGCGTGATCCATATCTAGCCGAACGAAAGCGTGAACATCTCTCCAATTGAGTTATAACTCTATTTACTAGTAATATGTGCTAAAGGAAAGATATATTAAAGAATTTATTTAATCAATAAGAGTGCAGTGGAGTAGTAAATATTTCTTCATCCTTAACCAGATGTCTCAAATTTAAATTCTCTTGCATGTGGAGTCGCGGGCTCCAATATGATTACCGAACACCGAATAGAAAAAAAAGTAAAAATAAAAATAAAAAATCCCAACTTGTGCCAAAAAAAATAAAATAAAAAATCAACCATCATCATAGTTTAGCCTTTTTAAAACATTTTCAATAATTATATTCCTCAATTTATCCTTCCAAAAAAAAAAAAGTGAACTCAATTTTCCCCAAATTTCTAATCTTTAAACAGTTTCAGGAATTAAATGCCCAAATCCCCCAAATTTGTACTCTTTGCTTCAACAATTTGAAGAGTAAACAACTCTAAATCTACTTGATAATGAATAAGAAAGGTATGTTCTTTGCACAAGAATCAATAATTTCTGCTAATTTGTTCAGATTATTTATGTATATGGAATTTGAAGAAATACCCTTTAAAGAATCTTGTTGTTACATTCTTGATATGGGTTTTTATCTTGTTAAGAAAAAGATTAGTACTTTAGGTTTTTTTTTTTTTTTTTTTCAATTCTTCAAGTTTAGTACTTTTTGTTATTGAACTGTTACATTCAATAGATTTTAGCTGATGGGTGTTTTGATTTTGTTTTTATTTATCATTTGCAGGTATCTATTGGGAGATTTTGGTATGTGTTGCTTGAGTGAAGGGAAGTAGACAAAGGGAGCTTTTTGATAATCTTGAAAATGGGGTTCATGAGTGGAAGGAGAATGTGGGTCATTTTGGATAAAGGGTAAGAAAATAGAACTTTGCATATTGTCTTGTTTTGTTTTTTGATGATTAGGGAACCCGTAGTAGCCGCTAAAACCCCGATAACTTGCATACCATACAGGAGAGGTAAAACGCACTAGGCAAGGCCCAAACCCCTGTTGTTGTGGGCAAGGGGTATTGAACTTGAGACCTCTATTATGGAAGTCGTAAGACAAACCATCTGAGCCATCCCGAAGGGTACCCCATTGTTTTGTTTTATACACATTTTTTCGAGTCTGAGAAATGCTTGGGGTTCTTTGAAATGTTACTAATTATTATGCAAGTTGTTTTTTTTGTTAAGTAGCTGAATTACTGAATACATTGTGATAATGGAGTTGCTGTTTTGCTTTATGTTAATACTTCTTACTAGTTATAGCAACTTCTGTCTTGAGTATCGTTCTAGGGTAGTGTATATTGTTGGAAAATGTTTCTTACGTGAGTGCTCGGAAAATTGGTGCCTTGAAAAGTAATGTGTACCAATGACAAATGTAGGGTAATTTTGATTCATTTGCTAACACTTCATGTTACATATGAATGATGCTACTATCCATGTTAACTGTGAAGATGCATATAAATTACTAAAACTTACAACTATCAAGTTTCCCAACTGTGATAATTGTCATGATGCACCAATCGGAAATTACGTTAGTAGTGGTGGGTATGTGCACGGATTTCAAATTTGGGTTATGATTTGTTTTTCTGACTTTATGAATCTCACAGGCCTTTCTTTGCAACTAAGCCTTATTTAGTTCTTTCTTGTAGTTTAGCGGTCGGGCATATACACCAGAAGATCCATTTTATGACCAAGCAAATCTAGGAACTTCTTCAAAAGGTTGTATATGATTGCCTTATTGGCGCTGGATTGTATTCTTCACTTTCCAATCCCTTGTTCAACATATATACCTAGTTTACTAGACTTTTATTGATCATCTATACACGCTTATGTGTCCTAACTTGTTTGTCAAAGACGCCTATTGGCTACAGCTACTATAGAACTTGATGGACTCTGTAATTCCTTTTGTAAGCTTAATGAGTAAAAAGCACTATTATGCTTCGAAAAAGTCACCTAGTTCTATGTGCCAACTCTTGAAATAACATGACTTTCCACTTTGACTACTGTATATATATATCTTTCGCAAGCCCTCAGTCCTCGGAGAAGGCCAGAAATTAATATAACATTTTAAATTTCAGTAGTTGATCCTAGTTCTGAAGACAAAAGAGGATGAGGTAGAAAGTAAGAGGATGAGCTAACATCCTTAAGCTATGTAAGATGACATACTTATGATCACGCTACCGTTAATTTGACTTTATTCCAGTATTGAGAGGTAAGGTTAAGAAGAGTTGAACATGTGGAGTTCATTAGTCTCATCATGATATTTTCATAATACAAAAATGAATGGAGTTTGTGGTGAGAAGAGTAAAGTTAATAGAGTTTTTCTTTCTTTCCTTTTTTCGAAATTGGCGTTACTAGAGTTTTTCATGTTATAATTACCTGAAAAGTTCTCTCTTTTAGGAAAATCGGAAGTTGATGACATTTCAATTAAAAGTTGGTAAATATGAGTAAGTGTTAATGCCATGTCTGCCAATTTTGGAAACTAACTTGATTTACCAGCCATTTTTGTATGACTTGAATTAGTGTTTCCATATTTGTTTTACATATTGATGCCTGATGGCTGATGCTGTTTGCATATTATAGATTTCTATCCCCGAGGCCAAGACATTATATATATCACCAATTCACTTGAGTGAGACAGAGGAGAGTGGAATTTCTTGTGTAGGGGGGTGAATTCTGGAGATCTACAAAGGAATGCCAAAAGCAAAGGCAGCTCTCTGGGCCCCTACTCCCTACCGACGCTGAGGTGCGAAAGCATGGGGCACAAACAAGATTAGATACCCTGGTAGTCCATGTTGTAAACGTATCACATCTAGGGTTTGTGCACAAGCTGACCCGCACATCACTGCTAAGAAAAGTTACTATTAATGACTGCTCTATTAACTTTTTCTTTTGATTCTTTTATGTGTTTTTGGGTTAACCAAATAGAGCTTAAATTTCTCTTCAGATCTATATCTAATTGGAAAAAAAGAAGTTCTGTTGGAATTTAATTATCCAAAAGAAACTTCTGTTGGACTTTTTTGACTTGCTAGGGATGCACAGTTTCTGATTGAATACAGAATCTGATTTAAGCTGTTTTGCTATCTTGTTTTGTGATGTCATGTATCCTTTTCTATTTGCAGATCTGACAATGCATCGAAGCTACACCAATTAGTCTTGTGCATTAATGGAGACAGTCGTAAGTGTCTTAACATAGTATAGAAAACTAAAAGAATATATGGTTCTTGTGTCATATCACCGGAGCGTTGGAAATTTGAAATAAACAGGAAACTCTTGATGAAACAATTTACCTAACTTCTTATTTGAAACATTTCAAGATATTTCTGGTGATATGAATGGAAAAGGCGTAAGCCGAGACAATCCAGCATTGGCCAGGCAACCAATAAGAGCAAGGGGTCTTCCTTTAGAGTGTGAACACTTTCTTATCTTTTAATTTGAAATGCTTTAATGGTTCAAAAAAAATTGAAAGAGTAAAAAGTTGATAAGAATCCGTGGAAGTTGGAAAGTTGTTTGTTATGCCACTCAATTTAACTTTTGAATAATATACTTGTCCTAAATGTTCTCTCTTTTTTTTGACGGGCAAGGAAGGCTAAAGAGGTTGTTTACACCTCATATTCAGGCTAAGAGTCTAACTCCTCATGCTGGAAGGTATACGGCTGTGAGGCGTTTGGCCTCCTCCCCCTGGCTGCCTTAGGGCAGTTAGGCTTTCCCTTGCCTTAAGAGCCATGTACATGGATTTGATTCTTGCATCTACTTATTTGACTGCTCTGGTGGGTTGCCTTCACTTTCCTGTGCTGATAGAAGGATCATTAAGGAGTGAAGTAGGAACATTAATCATTTAAAGGCATCATAGAAGCTTACATCCTGCTTTTCTCTTATTAATTTGACTGTTGAATACTGTCAATAAGTTATCACATTAACTAACCTATATCATTTCCCCCCTGCAGCCTAATGAATTGAAGACACCAAGCAAGATTGGAGATAGACCAACCAGTGATGTTGTCGTAAGACTTAGAACACAGGATGGCCGTGATGATTGGCTTTACTGTCATTCACATATTCTCGTTGAAGAGAGTAAATATTTTGCTGATCGGTTATCAGATAGTTGGCCGACATGTCAGATTCTGGATTCACGCAATTGTGTTGAGGTTTACTGTGAAGAACCTGATCTGGACTCCCATGTCAATGTCCTTCGACTCTTTTATGTCATTGCGGATGGCTTAATGATGGAAATTTGCCATGGTGTCAAGAATGCACTTGGCATTTTGCGAGTTGCTGTCAAACTTGGATGCCCAAGAATTATTGCAGTATGTGTGGATTATTTGGAAGCAGTCCCTTGGGAGGAAGCTGAAGAGGAGGAGATATTAAATACTATACCAAGCATGGGATCTAAGGTGGAACCAGTACTTGCTCGCCTCCAACCAGTCAATCCTACTGCAGTAATGAAGATTTTTCTTTCAGCCCTTCAATTTGCTACGTCATCACCTCCTTCACCTTTGAATGATCTGAAAAACACTGCTCAAGAACAGCTTGAATACATGCTTACCGAGGACGATGATGCTCCTTTACTGAGCGCTGATGAAGAGATAAAGCTAGAAGTCATGCGATGTGTCAAGAAGCTGCTTGATAGATTTAACAGCATTGTAGAATCTCTACTATGTGACCTCCAAGAATCGATTTCAGATTCTGGGAAAATGCAATCGTTGCATTCTTGTTTGACAGATTTGTTATGGGCATGTCAGATATTAGGAAAGTTGGAGATTATCAGAGATTTTGTTTGCAGCTGGACGGAGTTGTCAGTGAAGCTAGTAACCATCGTTCAACAAAAAGATGGAGAAAATCAAATTCTGAAGACAAAGCTGAAGGTTCTTGAGGTGACTGCAAAAGTATTAGAGGCAATAGGCTATGGCATAGTTGTGTTACCTACAGTAAAACGACTTCACATGGTGAAGCTCTGGCTTCCTTTTGTCCGGACGATGAAGCCTTTAGTCGATTCTGTCTCCGAGGAAACTGAGGATGATCTCACACTAAAATTCGATAGTGAGATCTGGCAATCTTTGGAGTCAGCATTTGTTGCTATTATACTTACATTGTCATCAGTTGATCAGACAGACATTTTAACAGAGTGGTTGGAAAATCAACAGATTCGATATCCAGACCTCACCGAGGCATTTGAAGTTTGGTGTTACAGGTCCAAGGTAGCTAAGCGAAGGCTGGCAACACTTGGGGAAGAACACAATACAGCTAAGGCAGTATGACTTCTCTCTTATTTTGCCAATTCTAGGATTTAGCTATCCTCCTTTTCGCGTCACTGATTATATGCTGAAAACTTTCTTTTATTCTTTCGAGTTATAACCTAGCTGAATTGGTAAGACATCTTAAAATGGCCTAGCTTCTGTAAAGTGACCTCTATTTTTGTTCCCCCTCCATGTTTTCATGCTTATGGTTTTATGAAGTATATCAATCACTTTCAGCAATATGCTCGGAACTCGAAAAAACTGGAGTTTTGCCTTGAAACTGGATACAAGTGATGATTGATGATAACTTATGTTCTTACATTTGAAAGGTTTCTCCTATGTTCTTGGCCATATCTGAATCTGCTTGTTAGTTATTTGGAACTAGTTCTGTTTTAGCTTTCTTTTCGTTACGAAAATTAGCCGAACCTTCTCCTTTGTAGTGCTTCCTTTGAGCTGGTAAGGCAAACTATGTTGCTTGGACTTTCTAAAAATGTCCGTAGATGTTCAGATTATTCAAAACTAATGTATTTTTGAAGGATTTGCCACGAGTTCATCGACATTCTTGGAGAGTCCGAGCAAACATAGAATGCATATGGTTATCCTTATGCTAGTGCATAAATTGTTGCTAGTCGTCTGAGTGTGTTGTTTTCCTATGAAACATGAACCACTTCTACTTGCATTTGGCTATTTTCCTTGTTATCTTGCTATCATTTTTTTTTCTTGCAACCCTACTTCGAAAGCTTCTCTTTTTGAGTTGAGGGTCTATCGGAAACAACATCTCTATCCCAGAAAAATAGGGGTAAGGTCTGTGTACATCCTATCCTCCCCGGCCTCACTTGTGGGATTACGGTTGGTATGTTGTTGTTGTTGCCTTGTTGGTATCAAAATTGCTCTTAGCTTTTGATTTAATGGTGAGAGCACAACATATGACGTGTGAATTACTCATATATCACGAGTTCAAACCCGGATATAGACTAAAAGACTTGGCATTTAAATTTTAAAGAATGATAGAGGAATTACCCATTTCAACTATATGCTAACCGACTACAAGAGATTTTTCGTTCGCATGTATGAAAATAAATACAATATCAAAAAAAATTAATTAAAGGAGGTTTAGATGAACCCTTTCGTCCCTCTAACTCTGTCCCTATGTGAAGGTGTGAAAAAAAACTTGCATTTGGGTCAAGAATCAAAGATCCCTATTAATCAAATAGTGGAAAGAACAATAAGGTGCAAATAAATAAAAAAGAATCACAAAAGCAAAGATTATTTCAAAAATAATTGATAGCAACATAAGAGAAATAATACTTTAAAATGCTCTTTATTTTTATTTTTTTCCAAAAAAAAAAAAAGCAAGTGAATAAGTATTCTAATCCAACAAGCAATTTCCCAAACAAAGAAAAAATTTCAAGAACAAAATTATTCTCTATATAATTTGTATCTATAATTAACTTTGTTAGGTTCATTTCATTTTCAGATGATATATTTTTTTGGGGGGAGGGGGGGGGGGGGGTGTTAGTGATGTTAAATTTCCACTCATAAAATTCTTTGATAGTAAAGTTTGAAGATAATTCAAATATTGATACTATTCTAATTAGGTGTTTATTCCTTCTATTTGTACATAGCAACTTGAAATTTCCATGTGTAACAAGTTATGTTGATATTTGAGATGATTTTTATTTTATATTATAATTAACATGAAATAATGACTTTAATAGTTTAAACTAAATGAACATACTTATTCAGAAGTTATTGTTTACATCAAACAAATGAATACAAATGTGTCTTGTATATTAACGATTAGAATGCAATTACACATTCCGATCGATTTATTATACTTCAATAAGAAAAATCGTATAAATATTTCATATTTAGTTATTTGTAGTAGTAATATATTATAGTGAAAAAATCTCTAAGTTCAAAATCTCGACTTTCTAAAATTATCTTTAGGAGGGAAATGATTTGAACAAAAATTTCAAAAAGCAGATTCAAAATATGAAGAAGTAAGCATACGAAGAAGTCAAGGAGATTCAACATCTACTATCTATATAGTAAATATGGAGAAGTAAGCATACGAAAAAAGTCAAGGAAATTCAACATCTACTATATATACAGTATAATTTTCGATGAATCACTCAACCCCTTACTCAAACATGCTTTCATTTTACTAGGGAATAAAACAACACTAAAACAAAGTTACTAGTAATAAGTTTTTTATTTATTTCCATCTGGTGTCTGGTAACCACATTGGAACCCGACTAAATCCATATTCGCGTTGGATAAGTCCCACATTGGGGTGAATCGCTTCCTAACAAAGATGACTTCATAACTCAGAACTCAGACACGAAACCTTGGTCTATGATTGAACAATATGGAAAGAGAAATAACAAAGATTGGCTAAAATGGATGGAGTATTATTTTATTTATACCACCCAAAATAACTACTTTTTTTCCACATCCAATATAACAATCCCAAAATTAATATACAAACCCTCAACCATATATATATCTTCTAGAAGTAACCTAGAAAATCTATCTATTTTGAAGAACTTAAATGGTTCTTCATCTCCAATGTATAAAGACTATGCAACTATGTAAAACTTGTTTCTTGATTCTTTACACTACCATGATATGATAGAATGAGAAACAATATACTAAAACATGGAATTTTTTTTTGTTGTTTAGCGACAGAAGTTGTCCGTCACTAATTCATCATGTTCTTGTTTAGCGACATACAGTTGCATACTGTATGTCGCTAATACATGTTCATGCTTAGCGACAGAAGTTTTCAGTCGCTAAGTTAGCGACTGAAGTTATCTGTCGCTAAATCATGTTCTTGTTTAGCGACAGAAGTTTGTCTGTCGCTAAATCCTGTTTTTGTTTTTGTGATCAGGCAACAAAATCTGGTAACAAGGGTGCGGCGAACCTCTTTCTGTTCTGAATGTTGAAGTTTTCGTAGACGCTTGATGTTGAGTGAGCTGATGTTGGTGTGTTTAAGCTACCAAACTCATGATTTGGTTCACTTCCAATTTGGATGTTTTGTGTTGGAATTGGAAGGAAACTGTGGTGTGTTGCAGACATTGAGAGGTTTTCGTTATGTGGTAGGCCAAGAGTGAGTGAAACTGTGCCACTGGTTGAGTATGGTGCTGAGAATTGCTCGGTGCTAAACCGAGCAATTTCTCCAATGGGATAGGCTCCGAATCCTCCCATGAAGTTCATCGGTCCTCCCATTAGTGAGAATCCATCTCTGTCCTGCCTATCATCACCAAACTTCATTGACATTTGTTCCTCGTTAGGCTTTACATCCATGTTGATGGATGGAATGCTGTTTGGTGAATGCAACATCTCGTTGTTCCTCGGTTTCTTTGGACTCCCTTGAGTAATGTCGATGCTTTCGATCTCTGGTGATCCAATGAGGTTGAAACCAGCAGACTGATTACGGATGGTCATACCGATAGTGGGTATGGAAGTGGCGTTGGACATCGGCATTGGTGAAGCAGGGTTGTGTTGGGGCAAATGATTGTCCTGTTTTGAGACAAAACTCTTGTTTTGGCTATCTGAACCAGGGCTTTTGTCTTGTGTAGCAATGGATCTTGATGTTGTTGAATCTTCGTTCTGTTCGCCTAATTTGCTCGTCTTTTCTTGACCCAATCCGTTCTGTTCGTGTTCTTTTATCTCTTCCAAGTACATCTCTTCAACCATTGGCTTCCAAAGACGAACTCGAGCATTGATGAACCAATTCGACACCTGAATAGTCCAAAAACAAAACTTAGTAAAAACCAAAAACGGAGAATCCAAGTGTCGATTTCTCAGATGGTCACTCAACTCTTTGTTGAAGTAAGATGACTTTTTGATATAATAACTACCAGTTAAGTGACCATCTAAGAAATCAACTCGAGAATCAAAAATGACAATGTTGTTATCAGTTATCACTGACCTGACTCCTAGTTAGCCCTGTTTGTTTTGCTAGCATCATTTTGTCTGAATCCTTGGGATAACTATTCAAAACAAATAGCCACAATATATCAAAATACAGTACTTTTAACTAAGTTATGTTGTTCAGACTCTTCAAAAATATCGTCAGGTGTATGTTAGATCCTCAAAAAATCAATGCATTCTATGAGGATCCAACACTGGTGTGACAACATTTTTGAAAAGTCCGAGCAACATAGCTGATGAAAAAGGGTTGTTTCGTGCTTACGGATGGAGGAAATGTTCAAAGAGCCAAGCGCGAAGAACAGAAACAGCTCGTTCGGGCAATCCTCTCTGAGGTCTCCAAGCATTATGCTGGATCATTCCCAATTGTTGCAAAGCCCTTTGCTGTCTTAGCTGATTATCAACAAATTTAAGCCTTGAACCTTCAATCTTCCCTCCCAAACTATCTTCTTCGCCTAACGTCTTGCTTGCTGATCGTATTTGACCAATTATCGCGTCCTTAAGACACCTAAATTGCTTCGAAATTGTCTGCAAAGCCAATGCTGTATATGTTTTTGCTGATCCAATACCAGCAGCTTGCTCCAACCAATGTATCACTGACTGCATTTGGTGATGATAATGTCTATACCTCTGCTCCACCTAAATAACAACACCCAAAATCGAACCGATATTTAGCTTTAAATCAAAGATTTCGATGAAAAAATTCTTTTTTTGTTTGTTTACAATTGTCAGGACAGTGCCCTGACGAAAGTAACAGTTTTGAAGTTCTGGTCTTTATCATTTGACAGATACTTTTTTGCTCTTATTTTCAGTAATAATATGATGCAACTTTTTTTTGATAGAGACCATTCTCTTACTATCTTGGAAGGCCAAAAACCTATGTTGCTCAGACTCTTCGGAAAAAAAAAATGTCAGACTGCAAGTCGGATACTCCAAAAATAGTGCATTTTGGAGAATCTGACATGAGTATGGCAATAATTTTGCAGAGTCCGAGCAACATAACCAAAAAACTATAACAACCAACAAGGTCATCGCTTTGCCTACTTGTCGTCAAGCTTATCAATGTAGAGTACACTATTGTAAATACTAGTTGGAAGTCGAAAAGGCCACAATTACACGTACTCAAGGATATGAAGTTTCTTCTATTGACTAGTTTTAAGACTCTGATCTGACACGAATGCAACAACATTAAGGTTACCTCGTCAAGCATGTTAACAAGTTTTGCTTTCTTCATTTGAATTTCTTGTCTCTCCGCGGTACTTAGCTCAGTTGTTGGAGCTCCGTCTTTGTCTGCTCCAACTCCGTCTAACTGTCCGTCCATATCGGCCATATTCTTCGATTTCTTGACATCATTATTAACAACAACATCAGTACTATTAGTACTTCTCATTGATTTTCCAACATTTACAACTTCATCAAGTAGCTCTTGTGCAGCCTTCATGTACTTAGAACTCAAAGGCACACTACTAATACTCTGTTGTTGCTGTTGTTGTTGTTGCATCCCGGAAGCCGAAGCCGAACCCGAAGGCGAAGAAACAAGCTCACGCGCCGCCGTGAAGTTCCCAAACCCCGGCTGCTGGGATGAGGACAGGCTAAGTGAAAGCCCTTGCTGCTGATGATGATGAGCGCGTGTGATCTCACGCGCCGCCGAGAGGTCGTTAGCCGGGTTGTAAAACCCGTACTGAGACGATCGAGCTAGGAAGCCGTGAAGGGCGGAGATTGACTCGTTGTTGTTGTTGTTACCGGAGTCTTGAGATGGGGCGGTGAAGGCGGCGGTGGCGAGAGGTATACCGACGAAATGTTGTTGTGGCGGTGGCGGAGGTGGTGGCGCGTGAGATAAGTTTATTGAATTTCCAATAGGATTGGAGTTGAAGAAAACTATGTTGCTGCTGCTGCTGCCACCTGGCGGCGGCGGTGGTGGCGCGTGGTGATGTTGTGTTTCAGAAAATCCAACATATCCAGGATTCATTAGTATTAGAGTTTGTAATCCATCATTTCCTTCTTGTATTTCTGAATTTCCATGAAAATAAGATGCCATTTTCTCTTCTTTTTTAATTTATTTTTTCTCCACAATAAACAAATAACACCAACTAATCTGAAAAAGAAATAAAAAATAAGTCAAAGTCAAGTCAAGTAAGTCCACATATATCATTTTTTTTCCAAAATAAAAAGGCAAAAGTATCAGAGTCAGAATTTTCATTAAAGAAATTTAAAATATGCAGAAGTAAATATACGAAAAAAGCAACGGATTCAGTATCTACTATGTATATGTATATAAATATAATTTTCTATCCGAAGAAGTCTAGATGAACCCCTTTTTACCCTTATCTAGCTCCACCCCTGATCCCAAGAAAACACACAATGGAAATTAACTTTAATACTTATTTTTCAAAACTTTTAACCAATATATACAGTATATAATCAATAATCACTATATATATATATTGGTGATGCCTACAAATTACGACTTTAGTGGCAGAGACATGATTTTCGTCAAAAGAGTTCATAAAAAATGAATTTTGACCTTATATACAGTATGATTTCAGATGAACCCTTTCGTCCCTCTAGCTCTGTTTCTGATTATTACGAGTAGGCGGGTGAATTATTTTTTTACCTAAATATGGTAAAATTCCTAAGTAAAAGTGGTTATAATTTTATGGTAATTATTGTATGTACCTTTTGTTGTTGAAGACAAGAAGCTACCTAGCTGAGGTCCAAAAAATTCAACCCATTCACACTTTGTAACACTTCAAAATCACAAAAATGGTAAAATAAACCTGAAAATTTATTTAGTAATATGTTACTATAATTGTAAAAAATACTTAATGTCATTAAATTTAATTTTCTTGATTAAAAAAAAGAATTATGAAATGGATTTGTAAATTAAAATATGGTTTTCACAAAAATTTGAAGTGCACGTGGTGTATTATAATCTGACAAATGGAAGAAATGAAGAATAATTTATTTTTGTGTAGGAGTGACACAGAAAATCATAACAGATTTTTTAGAGAGAGAAGGGAAATACACACAGTTATGGCAGAAATTACATGAGAGAGAAAGTTCGTATACGAGTTCGGTCAAATTTAATAAATTTTATTCAAATAATGCATTTATGTTAATAACTCGTTAAATAAATTTGTATAACTAATTCAATTATAATCGTTATTATAAAATTAAAATCTTAATTTCGAAAAAAAAATTAAGAAAGGGAAAAATAAAATACTCTTTGTAACATTTTTTTAGGAACTCTAATGTATCCATCTATGATATCTATAGATTTATGAATCAGTAATGATAAAAAAAAATTAAAATAATTTCTCTTGATAAGGTGAAGAAAAAGGAAAACACAAATCAAATTTGATCGAACTCAATAATTTTAATTTATATTTATCTTAAAAGTTTCATCTAACATGTAGAAATTGTCAATTTCGAATTCAGAATTCATAAACTTCAAATTCTAGATAGGTCTTTGAGCAGTGACAAAGCTAGAGTGTCGGTTATACGAATTCAACTGAACTCAATAGCTAATTTTGTTTCAAATTTTGTATTTACTCACTTATAAAATTAATTTAGAATTCAGTAACTCAAAAGCTAAGGTTACAAAGTTCATAAGTCATAACCTTCATATTATGGATCCGCCTTTGAACAGTGACGGAACTAAAGTGTCGGTTATGGATTCAATCGAACTCAATAGATTTGTTTCAAAGTATACTTACAAAATTCATTCAACATGTATAAATTATCAATTCAGAACTCAAACAAAATCAGAATTCAAGACTTATAAACTTCAAATTCTGACTCTGACTCTATTTCTGCTAGTCGAAATAAAAAAGAAGAGAAAACTAGCTCGTAAACTTCAAATTCTATATTTACATTGTTAATGAGTGAAGAAGTACCATACCTGAAAATAATATTTTTGATATTATTATTATTATTATTATTATAACTTTCTTTTTCTTCTTCTGATTTGACTCAGCTTTTCAAATCATTTGATGCAGCCATCAGCAGAAAGAAATAAAAATACCATCTTCTTCTGTGTGAAGTGATGAGAGCTAATAAAAGTACTCAACTTTTTAGAGAGAGAGAGAGAAGAGAAAGAAAGAAAGAAAGAAAGATGTGGATGTGTGGATGTGTGAATGTGAGTTAGTGTGTGTTTTTGCTTATATATAAAAATAAAATATACTTTTTTTATTCTAATTTATGTGTCTAAGGAAGTCTGGTGCAATAAGCTCGATTCAGGAAGGTAAATTTTTTATTTTTGTTGGTAAGGAGTTTTAAATTTGAGACCTCCAACATGAAAGTACCAAGATTAAATCATTGGGCTATACCGAAGGGTAATTTATGTGGCATAATTCGAATTTCAAAAGTCACTTTTTTTTTAAAAAGTGTAAATACAAATAGGGAAGGTACTATTGATGAATGGACTTCTTATAAAATTTGGACTATATTTTTTTATCGAGCTAGTATTGTAAGTTGTAACACGAGGGAGTGACGAATGGAACGACTTCTTTTAAGGCAAGCTAGCTTTTGATGTATGAATTAGGTTGAAGAGTTAATTTGATATGGTATCAAAGTCAGGCTCATCCAATGTAGCTCTTCCAGAGACGGCTTGAATGAGGGTGAAAATATCGGTATCTGTTAATGCACACACTCTAGTTCGAGAAATAAAAATTCTAACACGAGGGATTGACGAATGGGAAGAATGGTCCATGAATGTGCACACTCCAGTCTGGAAAAAAAAGGTTCTAACGCAAGGATGAATGGAAAGAACCTTACATCGATAAAGGATGAGATCTCTAGACTCGTTATAGGGCATGAACAATCTTTCTTTTTTTCTCCCCTTGAGCTTATAAAGTTTCGGATTTAATTTGACATAACTTTAACTCAATAGCTTTGTCTTGAATTATGTATTTGTATTAAAATAAATTTAATATGATACAAATAATTAATCAGAACCTAATTATGCTTCAAAATTTATAGAATAAATATTTCGACTTTGCCTTTAAATTAGAACATATAACTTTTAAAAAATATTATAAATTATAATAATTAATATAAAATAATTATAATTTTTTTATTTAACTCTCGAAATTAATATAGTATCACATAAATGTAGACGGAGCGACATATCCATCATCAAAGATCAAAGGTGTGTCAGAAAAAAACAAACAGATGAAAAACGAGGTAACGTCCACTTCCACTAACCTCCCTTTTTTCTTCTTTAACAATAATAATTATAAGGATTTAACATATACTTTTTCTTTTTAATTTATATGATAGTATTTGACTGAATTAAAAAAATTAATTATTTTTATAACTTATGATTATAATAATTTTTTAAGAGTATAAAAAATTTAAAATTAAATTATTTTAAATTTTAAAAAATATATCATATAAATTAAAACGAAGACCAGAAGAAAATGAGAGAGTGTGAAATATGATATGAACTTGAAGTGATAAAGAAAGAAAAAGAGAGGTAGGGTTGAAGAGATAGGGGAGAGGGCCCTATTGTCATTATTGATTTGTGTTGGCAACTTGGAAGAAGATAATGGTGAAAAAAAAATTAGGACCTACATTTATGAAAATTTACTTTTGACTTAGATTAGCCGTCGGACAAATTAGAATTTAAAATTTATATGAGAATTTTTAAAATAATAATTATAATTTTAATATTTAAGATTTAAACAAAAGATACTAATACTCTTCACCTTTTATCCATACATCATATTTGGATGGTTGTTAATTATTGTCATGATAAATGTCATTTTATTTTGATTTTTAGTTAAATTTTATTATATTATATTATTAAATTTGTTGTTGTAACGCTGGATATTTTTTAATATGTATAACGATTGATTAGTATGGTTTACATTATCGCCTTGTTTTTCATCTTGTCTTTATTTATAATTTATTTTCTTCGATCTTTATTCTAATTTATGTGATTTTCTTTGCTTTCTATTCCATTAAAAAAATTAACATATTTTTATATTTAATAAAACTTACTTTTTACCATTTTATATCCATAGAAATTTCTAATAATTTATTATAAATCATAAGTTTCTTTGGGTTTTCTTCTCTTAAACTTTGTACCAATCAAGTACATTTTTATATAAATTAAGATGGAGGAAATAATGTTCATAACTTACCCTTAACTCTATTTCATAGTTTATTGTTTTTTTCTAATTAATATTATAATTTATTATTTAAATTGATAAAAAGAAACAACAAAATATATCCAAATATATATTATATTCATCAAAATAAGATAATACATAAACACTACAATATGATATATTATGAGATAATGTGTGTGACAACTATTCAAACATGTTATAGATGAGACACTTTTATAATTATAAAAAATATTATAACGTGTTTAATGTCATAAGGTTTGAATTTTTTTAATCATTTAAATAGTATGTCATGTTTTAAAGCACAAGCTTCAAATTTTTATTTGTTTTTGTTTTTAAAATTTCTTATCAATTCTAATAACTTGTGACATATAAATTGAAACGGACGAAAATATTTTTCTTTTTTCAACCACAATTCTTTCAATTTTTTTTAAAAAGTTTTAGATAAGCTTTTCAATGGGCCCTAGCTACTATATAATTTATTTATTTTTCCCCTTCTCATTTTCTACTCTCTTTTTTTTTGTGGTTGGATGTAAAGAGTATGATGATAAAGCAACTATATATTATTATGCCAAGAGATACTGGGCCAACCACCATAAGACCTACTTAATGTCCTAAAAAGTCATAATATCATTATCTTCATATTTCTTTTTTTTTTTATTAAAAAAAACTCCAAATTGAAAAATATATGTGATTATAATAATAAGTAGAAAAAAGTAATATTTAAAGTAAAGTTTTAAAAAATGTATTTAAAAATTGAAATTTTGATTGAATATGTATTTAACTTTAATAAAAAAGGTAAAAGTTTGTGAGTTCGAAAAGATTTCTTACTTAAAATACTGATCAAGACCACTTTTCATATAATTCATCTTTAAAATAATTTTGAAAAAATTAATTCAATATATACCAAAGATTCTTTACTTGACAAACTAATCAAGACCACTTTTCATATTAGTAATTCATTTTCAAAATTATTTTGAAAAAAACAGTCCAATATATAATTAAACACTATGGACAAATGGCTTCTAAGAAATATATTATTATTTTTTTACAAAATTCAAAAACTATATGTTGAGTCCAGCTATATATCTACTTTTTTTAAAAAAAAAAAAATAGATTAACAATTCTTACGTGACTTCTGCTTGTGTCAAATAACATTTTTTTCCTCCTAATATATAGTACTAATAAATTACTTAACTACCGGTGGTTAACTTGATTTTTCTTTTTAATAATAATAGAATCCGCCGCTATTTTTGGGTACGCATGAGGTAAAGTTTATTTCAGTGTGATAGCCATAAATAACACAAATCCTATGCGACGAGTTCAATAAAAAAAAGCATCCAAAATATCGAACATGAGATTCTTTGCGTTTCCTGCTCAACCAACTCGGTCAGGTTATATTTATTTGTTTCTAAAAGGAAAAACATGAATGTTTGACAATAGATTCATATGTCACCTTTTTTTTTCTTTGATTGATTTATATATGTAGATATTTCCTTAAAGAAAAAATATTTTTTAAATACAAATGAGACAAAAGTATTATACATTGAGTTTCCTAATTGCCAGACAGTATTTGATTTGATTTAAAAGTTCAGTTTTTTTTTAAGGTTTTAATAATTTACTTTAGTTTTTTTAAAGAGATGAAATCTTATTAATTATAAATAGCATTAATTAGAGGACTTAAATATCCTTTTGGTTAAAGTTGTTGCCATGATGAGATTGTCTGAATTATGACTGTAAAGGATGTACTTTAAAAAATATATATATCAATAAGAAAATAGGATCAATGATTTTTTACTTCAATTATTAAATAAGGTAATGGTCCAAATTTAATTTAGTTTTGACTTTTATGAAATAAAGTTTAGACTTATCCTCCATTAATAGTTAGGGTCTAATCTATCTTCGTTGTTACAAAGTTTAAATTATTTTACAAAGTTCAGGAGTAAATTTAACCGTTTTATTTTGATGTGATATTGGGGGATAGGGATGGATTTACTACTTTTGACATGTATAACATCTATTGAAGTACAAGAAATTATGATTGAACTTTTGCATGAAAGAAATAGTATTTTTCACTTAAATATTCCTACTATAGTAATAAAAAATAGTGTGATTATTGTCAAGTTGAGCACCATACAATATTTCATAAGTACTTCACTAGATGCCTAGTGGATTTTTATTTAAATATTTTTTTATAAATATTGAGGATGTTGTAAGCTTGGTTCATATTTTATTATATGTTGAGACAAAATTTTGGATTCTTCTATTTTGTACGTGGAGCACTAGATTTGAATCCATTGGCTAAGGAAAAAGACTCAATCCAAAGAGTATTTAATGTTCTAAGAAATTTCCTTTCACTTTCTTAAGAATATACCTAAACGAGTAACCTGGTTTGTGATGAAATGAATCGAGATTCTTTCGTTCTTGATTTGAAATCTTGAATTTTTTAGTTTCTGTGATTGAAATAAATTCAATTAGACGCAATGTCTTCAGAAATGGACTCTACAATAAGCAGATCTGGATTTAATTGGCCTAATGCTAATATCAAACATCGAGAGAAAAAAATGAAGAGAATATACCTCTACAACAAACTTTTTTAAATAAATAAATAAATAAATTATGTTAATGCTTTATATCTTCTCTTTTTCCCTGCCTATGTTTTGGCATGTTGTAAGTGGATTTTATATGACTTTTTAACTACATCTTTATATTGGAAAACAATTTAAAAGAGAAAAGAAAATTATCTTTAATCGATCATAACAATACTTTTGACAGCACAAGTGATATTTTCTTCATTTTTTATTTATGTAAATCAATTTCCTTTTTTGTTGCACATGTAATAGTATAAATTTATATAAAAGTCCACTAAAATGTAACAAATAGTATTTTTGAACCTAGTACTTTCTAATAAAATTGCAAAAACTCATAATTTTAAAAATATAATGAGTTTAATATCAAGAATCTTAATTATATTTAT